CGACCAATGTGACATAAATACCAAGCGTGAAGCATGTGAAATAAAAAAAGGGGGGTGCGGAATAAAAAAAAAAGGGACGCTATGGGATGTGAGGGGTCGGGAACACTTTTTGTGACGTACTATGTTCCCATGGTCAGGAATACAATGAGCAGGAGTACTTTGATGAAGCCAAAATTGTCGATTGAGCACGTGTGCAAAACTCTTTGGTTGCACAAATGTGGGATTCAAAATTCAAGTAGTACTGAGCACGTTGATTTTGTATGTATTTAATTTTTTAGTCAAAGTAGTCATTACACAGAAAAGATAGCCCAAGATGTACGACTAAAGTGTACATCAGCTGGCCAAGCATATACAATATTTGCTATAATATATTCTTATTGTATAGAGTTGGCAGACCAATGTACAAACTAGTCCTACATTTTGGGCTATCTTTTTGCGTGTAACGACTACTTTGACTAAAAAACTACTAGATACATACAAAATACACGTGCTCAGTTCTTGAATTTTTGAATCCCACCAGTTGTGCAACCAAATCTTTTCAGTCTTGCGACCAAATAGTTTTGCTTGCAACCAAATAGTTTTGGTCACAACCAAATAGTTTTGCTTGCATATGCAAGCATTTTGGGCTACATTTTTACCATGTAATGACTTCTTGTGGGACTTAGTTAGGTTTCATGCCATAGTAGCACATGCTAAAGCAGAAATTGCGAAACTATTTGGTTGCACAACTGATGGGATTAAAAAATTCAGCAAGTGCCCAGCTGTGAACAGCAGTACAAGCCAGTTTTTAGTCAAAGTAGTACTAGTCATTGCATGCAAAATAAGGGCCCAAAATCTACAACTGGATCCTGCATTTCCAAGCCAACTTTATACAATAGTTGTTTATCTGGTAGTACTACATTAGTAGTACTAGTAATAAGCAACATGGTCAAGTTTGTAATGAGTCAAGACAATGTGGACTCGTACTATTACTAAAACCATCTAGCAAGCAGTGTTCCATTCAACTGTTCTCTACTAGTAATAGTGGTATTTGCTTGTTGTTCTGTCTCCCACTAGTACTACCAATACTACTTATGCTACTAGTAGGTTTCAACAGTTCTGGCTAGTTGAAGTAGTAGTGCTACTACTACTAGTAGTACAAGCACAAGCTACAAAATAAAAGCAAGCAGACTTATGATAAGGCCTACTAGTACTACTAATATATTCCTAGATTTAGTAGTGCTACTAGTGGTAGCCATTCTAGTGACATCAGCAGAGAAGCCTCTTGTTTTCCTAGTAGTAGTAAGGAGATTCTTTTTCTGCGAAGCACTTTTTGAGTATCAACTGAGCGCACATAACAATGTCAGCTTCTGATATGTTCAACTGGTTTTCGATTAGGAGATGGAAAACAGTTGCTTCTACAAAATGAAAATCAGACTCATTTGTAGATTTTATCATTCTGTGTGTCTGTACGTGGCTCATTTCTTATCGTGGAGAGATTATGATTTTTTCATCGATTCGTTTGGTGAACAGTACTTAAAAATTACGTTTTGATCTAATCAACCTTGACGTTTTGGAAGATAGCCCGCACGAATCCACTGGCCGCTRCATGGCCCAAGGTACCGCACAGTAGTCCCAAATTGATAGAGATCAAGGCCATGTATCCGAAATAGAATGAGAACTGCAACATACCGTGCATCTGGGTCTTGAAAATGTAGTAGTAGACACCGTACAAGAAAACGTAGATAGATGTGGACGCACCCGATCCGAAKGCAGTCCATTGCCAGAGGTAGTTCTCGGCGTTCAAGCAAAAGTAAACGACAATGATGGATGTCATGCCGACCACAATTGTCAAAATGGCATAAACACCAAACAAGAAGCCGTATACGTGGTAAAACTTGTAATTCCATAGAGAGGTCAGCACGTAGTATAGCTCGATAAAGATTGAACCGAAACTCAAAAGACCTGCGAGAGGAATTAAACCAGAAGGCTTTCCGTACCACGGTACATCCTGTGGAATTGGTCTTGGGATGGCATTCACTCGGCATGGGAAGCTACTTGCCGAACCCTTGCTCGAATGACGTCCCAGGAGAGTTCCAACAACGCAGAGAGGAACAGAAACAAAAACGTAGAGGAAGAACAGCTTCAAGATAACCGAGAACGGAATAGAGTTGATAGTACCGTACATAAGCGAAGCAAAGTTCAAAACGAGGAAAATCAGWGTCGTCACAACTGGTAGAAGAACAACTGTGAGACCCATCGTGGCTTGCCACAAGTTTCCTTGTCCCGATTTGTTTCCACTTCGGGCAACTGTCGGATAATACTCCTTGAAGTATCTTCCCGACACGAATCCACTAACGATCGTCGAAAACGCGTAGCAGATGAGAATAGCCTGCATCATTTCACCTCGTTCCTCGTGAACTTCACCGTGAACTGGCCCGAGAACCGCAAACAGAATGACTCCAAAGGTTAACACCACTAGCTGGCTTCCAGTTCCCACAAGAGCTGCAAAAAGTGGCAACATAGACGGTGCACGAAAGACGTCACCGTGGACCTGTTTCCAGCCGGCATCCTCGACCTTGTCGTGCATCATCGCTTCTTTTTCATCGTCGTCGACTTCCCCATCCTCAAGGTCGTGGATCAATCCATAACGCGCGTAGTCCTTCTTCAGAGTCCGAAGGAGAATCAAKGCAACAAGTCCCATTAAGAATAACACCATCATGAATGAGTTGAAGACTGAAAACCAGTGAATGGGGTGCTTGAAAAAGTCGTGGTCAAGGTATCGGTCAAATCGCGAGTGAAACTCATCGGTTGTCGGTTCAAACTGTACGTGAAGGGCAAACTCCAACGTAGCACCTTCCTTAACTTGYGTCAAAGACTTGGGGTCACTAGTGAGATCGACCTTAACGATCTGATCTTTATTGTAAGAGATGATCAGGTTTCGTGTGGTGTACACGTATGGGTGCAAGTTAGCGACCTCGTTGTCTTTCAGTTCCGTCATGTGATCGAGACGCTCCAGGTCATCCTTTTCCTTCAAACTGAACTGATCGGCCTTGGGAAGCATCTCACCAACCATACCCCAGACCGGCAAGTCGTCCAGATACATCTGATAAAACCAGCGGTGCTGAATAGCTTGGGAGAAGTGTTCGGCTTGTCGCAGGGATAACGGTTTCGTGGTGCATTTCTCCGGCCCCTTGGACTTGCTCAAAAACAGAATGTCGTGGCCGGAATGGCGCAGTGCGTGACCACCAAGATGCTCTCCCATCGTAAGGGATTTCCACTCGTTCCAGCGGCCGGATCCACCGCTGGTCTCGGGGTGGTGTTTCGTTTCGGGGGCGCAATAAGGAAGTGTGTAATATTCATAGGCTTCTTGTGGGTTTGCGTAAGGCCCGACCTATATTGGTATTGACATCATCATTCATTTGTCGATATTTCATTGCGTGTTTGAATTATTGGTTTTTCCATTTTTTTTTACCAAGAATGGGCGACAGTCGGGATCAAAGAACAAGAAAATACAACAAATGGAAAAAGCCGATTGCATCCAGAGTCACGAGATTATTTACGAAGACAACAATTCAGGAGGAGGAATACAATATTATCAGATTCTGCACCAACTTCGTCGCATGAAAACGAGAACCATAGCTATTATTTACTTGTGACAGGTAAAAATACCGAATAAGCAAACTCGATTCGTTCGGAGGGTTCCTACCAGCACAAATGACCGCACGACTCGATAAACGGACCTTGTTGACCCAAAGCTCTATGTGCTCATCCTTCTTATACGTATGGTCGCTGGTGCCGGCATCAGCAAGATGAGGCACCAATGCAGTCACTGCTGCTACTAAAAGCGACAGTCTCATGGTCGAAAAAGTTGTTGGGGCTGTGCCTATCTGTCTTGAATGAAGAATAAAAATAGTGCTCAGCCGTGGTCGATCATTGTACGAAGGAGCGAGCCTCCTAGTTCGCTTCGTACTGTCGCTGCTGTTCCATATACTGTAGTACGCTACCTACGGTAGGTAAGGCTATCATTTTCAAACGATTTCGACATGAAAAACAGTCACAACAAAACACACAACGGACATAGTCCTCGTACAAGGTTCAGTACAAAATTGTACCACTCGTACCCTGTTGCCGGGCGTACAATAAAACAAATGTAGTAACCGTCTCCGATAGTACGTACGCTACGTACAGTACGATCCTAAGAAAAGGTCGATATACCGTACCGTGTAGTCCCGTACGCGAACATCGATCACGGCTTAGAACCTTCTTCGACTCGTTTGACTGACTCGTTGAGTGAGTCATGGTCATTGCCTTCTTTCCAAATCATACCGATTTCTATTTTGTATTACTGTACTTTCCCATGTACGGTACAAGTTACGGTATAGCATACATAGTACGGTACCGTAGGTACCGTATTAAAGTACGAATAAGTGACGATCATGACCCGTGCATTCGTACGGGTTCGCACCGCGACAGGAACTCCTGATTTCGATTGTCTTCTGAAATAAAGTGAACAAACGAACACACCGCAAGGAAACCAATTGAAAATAGAACGAGGGCAACACACACGAACAGAGCGAGTCGCCGCCACTACCACCAAGACGATGATGATGAAACACATAGGATTCAGAATCCTGGTAGCTGTTATTGGGGCGTCAGCCCTTRTTTCTGCAGGAAACGAAGATACCCACGAGAAATGCAGGGAGTGGGCAGAGATGGGCGAGTGCGAGAAAAACCCGGGCTATATGCTTGGCAGCTGCGCCGCAAGCTGCGACGCCGTTGCTGCCGCCGCTCTGAAAGAAGCAGAGGAACTAAAGGGCATCTCGTCCTTCTTTGACCTGTCCGCCAACGATATTTTTGGAGAATCCCTCTCGTTTTCGAAATTCGAGGGCCARGTCACGGTGGTGGTCAACGTTGCGTCCGAATGCGGGTATACCGATAGCCACTACCGCGGTTTAGTTGAGCTGTGGAGCCACGCAAAGGAGACGGATCGAATCAACATCCTGGCATTTCCCTGCAATCAGTTTGGTCACCAAGAACCCGGTAGTAGTGAAGAAATCAACGAGTTCGCAGTCGAGGAATACGGAGTCGAATTTACAATGATGGAGAAAATTAACGTGAACGGTCCCAACGCGTCCATCGTTTACAAATATCTCAAATCACAGGCCGGGCCTACCGCTATTCAATGGAATTTCGCTACATACTTTGTGGTTTCTCCGGATGGAACCATCAATTCATACTCTGGCTCCAAGCCAATGCAGCTGAAGGACACCCTTTTTGGTCTGTTGCAAACCGACGAGCTCTAGGAGGGACGTTGGGCAGTTGTGACACGAGAACGAGAAATGCTTTTGATTCATTCAAAGCCATTAGAACTTTTCACTAGCTCATTCTGAGGATGAAAACCGGAAGAGTGTTTCGTCGGGGAGCATCAGAACCTGCTGTGGGTTCCACCACAGCAAGAACCTACGAACAATATAATGACGAGCGTGCACCGAAAGAATGCTGACATAGTAGATATCTGTACGTTCATGTAGCACTTCTTACTACGCTAAAGACTCCTGTTGCGGGCTGTACCAAGGCTCACCATATTGATGTCGGTTCATGTGTAACTTTAAGTTTATAACCCGCTGATCGCATTGAAGCAGATCCCATTCAATTGATTTAGTACATAATGCGTGCAAAAGCTTCATCAATCCATTTGGTTTAACCACTGCCTTCACAAAGTGCCACCTACTATCCACAATGATACTCCAAAAAATACTAGTACTACTTGTTTCTGAAATGATTGGTGCCTCTCGTCCTACTAGTAGTACGAACCTACGTTACGTTGTATCGCCTTGCCTCTTTTGAAGAGATACTTTTTCTAGCAGTACTATTACTAATTCAAACCTTCTCTTGATTGCTTTTCTAAATTCTCCTAATATGAAAAATTGAGAAACCCATTCAATGTTATTGGATTTGATTTGGTTACTGCAGTAGTTTGATGCAAATAGAACACATTTTCACCTGTGAAGGTGCAACTTGTTGTTTGAAACCTACTGTTGATGGTAGCAGTACTATGTCTCATACCACCAGTAGTAGGAGGAGCGAAGGAGAAGAAAAAGCGGCATGCATGACTGGATTTCTAAGATACAGTACATACAGATTGGAACAACCAGGATGCCAAGAATATTGTTTTTTTAATAGGTTCTTGCTGGTACCCCCTTTTCCATGTATGCAATCGCTTTTGATCACAAAAAATATGATCGAATCTGATTAGAAATTACTGAATTTCTTTATCACAAATTGTTGTGATCAATTTTGATCATACATGCCAGTACTTAAATACAGAGAGCCCAGTGGTGGAATATTTTGGATTGGATTTGCACTCCAACACTGTTCAGACCATTATTTTTCTTCCAGAGGAGCTCACTAGACAGACATCTTTAGCTCAAAATTATCAGCAAACACGGGAGAAGAGGAATTGACTATCCATTGATTCAAGGGAGCAAGAACAAATAAACCAGCAAGCTGTCCCAGAAAAATAGCTCTTGGGAAATCAATTAAAAAACAATGCCAACCAATTGAACAAAACAACAGCTTAAGATCCAGAGCATCATTGAAGGAAAGACCATCCTTAACAACCTTCTTCCTTCCTTCCTTGATCAGGTCCTTGTCATTGTTGCCAGTGGAAAAAAGAAGAGAGACTTCAAAAAGCTGACTCTGAAAATCAAATTGATGAAAAAGGGAGTTGGGAAAGTGGTTGACCTCCTTGATCAAGCACTCAAGAAGTATGATGGAATTTTCAGACTGGAAAAAGACTGTTCTGTCTGTTACAGTGGCAGAAGAAGAAAACAAGCAGAGAGTCATCAGTGAGAGGCTTCAGATATCTGTCAAGTTGGTTAATAGTAAGAGGATGTCCATAGTTAAACAGGTACTTGTTGTAGTAGTACTACTACTCCCTACTAGTAGTATGACCTCCTACTTGTTGTCGTTGTAGTAGTTTCAGCAYAAATATTGGACCATTCCTGGTGTTATTACAGAAGAATTGCTAAACCTGTAGATTTAGCACATTTATTACTTTTACAATAACAGGAAACAAAACTTCAATGGACAGACTGAGAGGAAGGCTGGCTCTTTTTGGGAGCCTGGAATCTTAAATTGCTCAACATAWAGACAAAAAAGAGGCACATGCGTACTTCAACGTAAAGACTACTACTACCATAAAAAATAGGCACACACATGATGGGCCTTCTTTGTGTTAAATCTTTCAACAGACTCAAATTTTTATCGTGAGTTCTGTCATAGATTCATTACAGTTAGTAGAATCATGGCAAATTTTGACCTACTCAAATGTAATAAATTTTGTAACAGAATTGCTAAATTTTTGGTCTATCTGCCTATCAAAAGTACCAATTCTATAATAACAGGAATCACTGATTGCATGAACCAACTACCCACTGAACCCAATATGTTCATTGGGATGTTAAGATGTATTATACCAATCTGATGTTTACTTGCTTTTATAGACTACAAATAAAATTTTACTTTAGATTCTTGTGCAGTTTATAGCATACATTTAACAGGTAAGGGACTAAATTTGTAGTCAGTACTCACCTAGTTTTTGCACCATAGTAAACCCAAGTACAGAATGGTATGTACTTGTTCTACTACTACTACTAGTACCTCCTGGTGCGTTAGCCAACAACCAATCCACAACATTTTTCAAGATCACATGGGGAATTACTTGAACCCATCTTTTCCCCAGAAAATCAATATCAATATGGTGGTTCCTATGCAGTAGTAGGTACCTACATGTGTCTCAAGACTCATTTGGATTGCTGTGAAGAAGAGACAGACCAAAGGCAACCGAGAATCATTGAAAAGGAGGAAGGAGGAACAACAAACTACTAATCAGGAGCTTAGCACACTGTCAAAGCTATCAGTACCAGTTGTACATTAAAAACAATATGTAAAGTGAACTGTACTTGTTGACTAGTACAAGGTACATATCCTAATGTGTGGGTCCAATCCAAGATAGGTTATGAGGAGTACAAGAAAACTGATGCGCAGTTTTTATTACTACTAGTAGTAGTCAGAAAAAAACACCAGCATGAGGTTCTTTGTCTCACCCTCCAGACAGAGCGGTTGGGTACACTTCCTCCCCTCCACACATATACTGGAATAATTCATTATTAAGAATAAGGGGATCCGGAAGTCTCAGATCAATTGACCAACAAGTGGTTTTTTTTATTAGAGTTTTCCATATCAGTAACGTAGCATACTACGTACAAATTAGTACTCCGAAATATCTTGTTATTTGTGGGTAAACCCAAGAACCGTTTGAAAACGTTGGTTATTTTTGGTGAAAAATAACCCAAAAATCATGCCCCCGAATGTTGGATTTCAAAGGGGGATGTGGCACGCGAGTTCCGGAGGGACCTGGGTGCTTCGCTCGGTAGTTACGAGTACTCGTCGTACCCGACCCGTAAGCTGGATTCGATTGCTGCACGTGTTGATCTAATTTCTGTGAGCGCGCCTCGCTCTCTGGCCAAAATTTTAATCTAGTTGGCGCGTCTTGCCCTCATAGTGCTATTGGCACGAGAGAGCACGCAGACCGGGTCGCTTTCTGTTTCAAAAAAGACGTCCGAGAGGACCGACCCATTTTTTGTGTCGGATTTAATGAAAAATTTCGAGATCCACGTTCCACTTCTTGGAACGATCACGGAAATCGCAGAACCTACCATTAACGAAAGTGTTTTCAATCTCTGTACCGGTAGCAGCATTGTCTTGGATGGTTTCCTGCGACGATTAGGAGTCCATCTTCCAATCCATTCAATTTGGGAGAGCTTGGAAGTCGTAAAGAACATACTAGAGCGACTATCCGCCCGAAGTATCGATTTCCATCTGCAAAGAATCAATCGCCTTGCATCGAATCTACTGCTTARAGCTTTTCAACATTACAAGGAACATGTCAGACCAGATAAGCACCGACGTGCCGACAACTCCATCTAGGGCTCGTCCTCGGCAACGGCCGAGACATTTTCGTGTGTGCTACGACGAGGACGGGAAAGCCAATGATTCCAACGATTCTGTCACCAACACGGCAGAATCTCGACCCCAGCCATGGGGAGTTGCTCCCGTCAATTTTCAGTATGAAATCGAAACAAGCGTTTTGTCGTCGGATCTGTCGCCCAGGGCGCAATCGACGATCACGAACAGCGTGTCGGCGGCCATTATTAATAGCATCCATAAGCACGATTGCTCACCACGACGCAGGAGGGCGAGGCGACGGCGAAGACAAGAAGCTTTATCGGACTTGCCGTCGTTCTCAGCGCTGAGATCGAGGCGCACGGAGATCCTATCGATCAGCCCAGGGGATTGGCACGAATGGAAGGAAGAATGCGTAAGCGAGTACAAAATAGGTTCGTTGTCTTGCAATGAAGTTGAGGGGACAGTTGTGATTGGATTCGATGAATTGGATTTTTCGGCAACCACCATCGGATCAGGAGGCGGTGCGTCCGATTTTAGATCAGTAGGGAACGTTGTTCTTTCCAGGGTGGAAGAGGACATGAATGATGGAAATTATCTCGAAAAAGTCAACAATGACATTCTCGWGCTTGGTGTGGTCGTCACAAAACTCAAATACGTAGGTTCGGATTTTCTCGATCGAGTCGATAAAAACGAATTTGAACCCGTTGATGTCCTTTTGGATTCAACGAGCGCTAGTCTGGACACCACTGACGGCATTACCCTTTTTTCCAAGGTTGCAATTCCTATTATGGTGACTCTATTCCTTCTTGCGATGGTTTTGTGTTGGTGTGCAGTATCAACTTGGCCGACCGATTGGTTGCGGGAGAAAATGAGTAGAGGAAACGAAAATAACAAATCCTTGAAAAGAGGTTCCCGCAAACCATCTTTTGGTAAGGAAAGAGAAGAACCTGATCTAGAACGACATACTAGACGTTCACTAGATTATAAGAATAAGTCCCTACCTTCGTCGATAACCATAAAGGGTAACATTGGCAACAACGATGTCGATAAAGGTAGGATCGATGCGAGCAAAATCGGGGATCGTAAAAGAAAATCTCGGACCCGGACCCCGTCACTAGAGGCTACCCTTCACGATCTGACTGAAACCGAGAAGAAGAATTACGGAAATCACATTGTACCGCTTCCGATGGACAATCGGAACGGAAGATCCTATTCGACGCTTCCCGTCGACAATAGGGCAAGTGTTAGCCGCTTTTTGCACCTGCCTGTCCGCCCCAAATCTATGATTCACGTCGTGGACGGGCACCCCTCCGATACCGAAACTGGCTCTACTGCACACAGTGTTGGAATTGTAAACAATGAGTTGAGGTACAAAGATGGGAACATGGGCGATCCTGCACAACGGTATTCTTTCCCAATTCTATCATCCCCTCGTGCTATCATTTCTTCTTTGTTCACCAGAAGTAGTCCAAATGAACACTCTCGTAATCCATCACCAGTCATTGATCTCGTTGACAGGGTCAACGCTTGTACGCCCGGTGGAAATGTCCAGTGTTTCAGACATGAGTCGGAACTACCAACAAACAATAGGAGCGAAAACGAGACCGTCTTGAGATACGTCGTGCCAACTGATGATAGGGTCAATTCTCTAGTAGAATCGCCGAATGCAGACGCGGTGAAATCACCTTCCAAACGAATGAGTGCAAAGAAGTCCGAAGCATACAGAGCGTACATCAACCGGAAAATACGCCAACGGGCTGAAGAATGCGAAGAATACGACAAACCGATTCCGATGGAAATCGGAGTCAAGCGTACTTTCACCGACGGGCAGGGTCGCGTCCGAGAAATGGTGGCGCTCTAATTTTGTTCCAAAACATTCGGCTGGTTGATGCGTAGAACGCTTATATTGTTTGTACGGTAGTGATGGTGCTCGCTAACTGTTACCTACTGTAACTTACAAAAAATTGGCTCATCTAGAAGCATCCTATTGATGATGTAATAATAGCAGACATGTTTTGAAATAATCAAATTTCTTTCTGCTAATTGCATCGAACACTGCGAAATATTTTGCTCACAAACCGCACCGTACACTAGCCTACAAAACCGATGCGAGGATATGGTACTAGATGCAGGCCACTGAGTTCTAGACGTATATATCCCAGACCAAACGACAGGTCATGATAGCGGCGAAACAGGCAATGATCGCATATAGAGGAACTCGTTCATCTAGAAAGTCAATGAAAGGTTTGCACCGGCCAAATAGAAAAACTTGAATTGCCAGCACGGTGAGTCCGGCGAACAATGTACCCAGTATCAACTCTGATACCGAAAAAACATTTCCAACGATCAGGGTTGGAAAATATGAAATCTCATCAAGGAATCCCAAAGCTGTCAAGCTCGCTACCGTCATAGGAGCSAAGCCATCAGTATCGGTAGAATCTGGTTCTTTCTCGTTAGAGGTAGGCATGCACAAATCATTGTCATGGGAGTATTTTCTTACTGGGGGTCCCGATATTGATCCATATAACGCCCGACGAAATTTCTCCGAATCATCATCAGCATGACTTGTTTCTGCACCACCTTTGACATCATCTTTCTTTTTTTCTGTTCGAAGAACTGCATTCGATTCATCCCTTGTCCCATGTTGTCGACGATCGCGTCCTTCATGATCTTCGCGCAGCCGTCTACGATGTTTCAGCTGTTTCTTTATAAAAAAGCCAGAGGCAATGGCCCAGCATAGTATAACCGAGATGCATTCTAACTGGATTTCAACTCGTCTGATCGATGATTGGGTATCGTTGTCAGTATTCTGCCCCCAGAAACTCACAAAGCCCAAGGCTATGGCACAGCAAAAAAATGAGAGAGTCATCAAAGTCCCTAAGAATACACCGGCATGAACAAAGCGAGATCGCTTTTCGCATCCTCCAGTGGCAACAAAAGGCATGAGCCATATCGAATCATCTAAGGTTGTTATTAGCACAGTGAAGGTGGCGCCAAATATTCCAGTCCAAGTAGAGGATAGTGAAAGATGATAATAGTATTCCTGCACAAAGTTCTTGTCACTCGACATCGTTCTAGCGTTATGTTTATCAGCTTACTTTCTCATCTCAAGATCGACGTCTACCGGCACGTTGGGTTAGTTCGTAGTCGTCGTGATGATGTGTATTAGTACTGCCTACGATTAGTTACGGTACGGTACGGTACGACTCTCCATTTCCTTTCGGTACCGGTATCTTTTCCGAGGAAACCAAAAACTAACGGATGTTTTTCGTTTTTCTGATGTTCCTGTTTCGTGATACCATTTTTTCTTTTGCTACCGTACTACAGGGATCATAATTTAGAGGGGTCACATCGAAAACTCATATTCCAGCATGTGTGTCCGAAAATGGAAAATGTCACCACTGCGAAGTATACGTGGGTTCATAACCTGCGAAGTATACGTGGCTCCATAGTAGCATAATGCGGTGTATAATAAAGAGTGAGTTTATTCACTATCTATTCGTGATTTAGCCTCACAACCACAGGATTTTTTGACAACTTCATTTTTACTTCATATCACTGCTAAAAGTGTACCTGAAAGACCCCCTACACAGGAACACTTCCAATTCCAATCACTCTCTGAGTTTCAAACTTCATAGTATGCACATCTTGCACTCATATAGTTGAGAGTCAAGTAGAAAGTGTTTCTTGGATTTTAATCCTCTCTGTACTACTAGTAGTTTGAGATTTGATGTGACGAAACAGAGGAGCTGGTACTTCTACTAGTAGTACTAGGCTAGTAGTACTGTAATTCTAGTAGAAATAGTCTGTCCTCCATCTAATTTTGTGAAAACAGTCCAGTCCCTAAAAAATTCAAACAGTCTGTCCTTCATCCATTTTGCTTCTTACTACTTTTCCAGCAGTAGTAGCTCTACTACTACTAGTACTGTTGTCCGTAGGATATCAGACCGTGGGAATGATTCATACATATGACACGTACATACGATACGTATCTACGATTCATACACACCATACATAGTATATGACTCACGCGATCCCACTGGATTCATATGATCGACATGACTCATTTCATTCACTTGCGTGAGTGACTCGACTCATTCGATTCACACATCACTGGATCCTCACAGCGATCCATTCTAGATTCCATAGTTCGTTGATCCCCGATAAGAGCATCGACTCACTTTTCTACTAGCACACACTTTACATCACTTTTAGGACAGTCACTCCCACAGGTTATGACACCCTTCCAATAAAATTGATCACCACCATGGTGATAATTTTTTAGGCGTGATCTCTCCTCAATACGAACTCTACCAACACTGCGTCGACACACACCTTTGAACAATAGATCGTCTCCGACAACCTATCCGCCTTGTTGTTGCCATTGTCTCCGACAATGCATACGCCTTGTTGCCACCATCGTCTTCGAAATAACAATTTCGAAATAACTATTACCAAATAACAATTTCAAGACGATCGCCATTGTCGCTGCTCACAACGCTTTCTTGATCTTGAAAACTTCAAAACGTTCAATGCTTTCTTCCTTTTCTACAATCAACGAAACTTATTTGGCACCATCAAACCCGCTTCCATTTTTTAATTCCCACAACGAATTAAAAATAAATCACGTACGCATCCTACGCACGTACGAATACGCTACATATTCCCACAGCGCGACCATCTCACGTTACGTGCGACCACTTCACGTTACAAAAGAATGATATCACAAAAATCAATTTGATGTCCAAGAAAATTATATATTCAGAATCCTCATAAAAAACTGATCTTGATAGGCTAGTAAAATAGTACATTATCACTATTTTTGATGAAAATATTAGTACTACTTTAAAGTTGAACAGTTTTTCTATTAGTATTATGCAGTAAAAATGAAGTTGTCAAAAAATCCTGGGGTGACATTTTCCAATTTTGGACATACATGGAAAAATGAAATTCTGACCCTGCATAAGAAAAAATGTTGCGCATCCCTCTAAATTATGACCCCTGCTACACAGCAGGGGTCAATTTTTTTTGCATCACAAAGCATGAAAAAAAGGGAAACTCATATTCCACATGTGGTCCAAATTTCCAAAAAGTCCCCCAAGGATTTTTTTCATTCTCATTTTTACTGCATAATACAAGTAAAACTATCCAACCTTTAAGCAGTTACAGCTTTATCAAAAATACTACTATTTTAATTTTTGAGTAGCCAGTCTAGTCCAGTTTTTAATGTTAACTCTGAATATATCATTTTGTCAGATATTAAGTTGATATTTCAGACGGATTTCCAGGAACAGTGGCAATTTCTGATTGGGACATGAATGATAAAGAGAAGAGGATTTTACTAGACCCACACTGTAGGGCATATTGTAGTGCAGACAATCCAGAGTTTTATTATTTTGTTACAAGAATAATTTTGGCTTCTGTTAATGCTAGGAAATAGAAATTCAATGGGAATACAAAAGGGACAGAGCACTTGCTCAGTAGGATTTTTAGTGTGGAGGATGAGGCATTCACACTCCTAATACTTTACAATGAACTTCATGTGTGGGAATCCTCTCTCCTGAGAAAGAGAGATGGGTCAATTAAGTTGGAACAGAAGAGATTCTGAGATGCAAGAAGCGGGACGAGAGATGGGTGGGCTCCAGAGGGGAAGTTACTCTACCACATGTTGTGCGCTGAGATTAAGGAAATTCAAAAGGACCCTCAAACAGGAGAGCTGTTTAAAAAACAGATGAGAGAATGGTTCAGGGAGGAATGTAGAAGGAAGAATGGTAGACAGTTGGAACCCAGGGTTGACCTTACCATGATGGACAACATTTATGTTTGCAGAAGGTTCAGAAACCTTACTGATAAGCCGGTAAAGTGTAGCCAAAACAATTCAATTACAGGTACAGTGGGGACTGTCATGGAAGAAGTTTAGTATTCTGTAAAGGCATTTGTAGAATCCATTCATCATACATAGTAGTAACACAGTTAGCTAGTCATGTATTTTCTCATCTGTGAGGTAGCAATGGAGCCCGGCCATTTCATAAATTTGAAACCATATGGTACTAGCAGAATAATTGTTACAAAATAGTGATTCCACCAAGGTTATTTGAGAGTAATACTATTTGCATGTGTAAATCTTGAGTATAAATTCCAAGAGTTGTGTTTTGAGGCTACTGTCATCGTAACTGTTGAGGTTGTGTATTGCAACCCCCCAAAGTAAAAATATGGAGCAGTGCAACGTACGTACTGTATTAGAGGGATACGTACAATACGATACGAAGCTCCGAAGAAAGGAATGAAGAATCATACCATTCCTACGTACCTATCGTAAGGTACGATTCATATCTATATATCATAGGATCCTTCGTAAGAGGTCCGAGGATCGTAAGAGGTCCAAGGATCCTTCGTAAGAGGTCCGAGGATCGTAAGAGGTCCAAGATATCAGGAGTTAGAATATCTTACGAAGAACATAGACGTCACGAGTCATGAATAGAAGAACCTCCATGTAGATTCCCTACCAGGTCTACATGAGG